CACACACACACACACACACACACGAGCCACACACTCATGGCCCACAATTTTAATTACATTCTCCCAGGTGCTTGCCCCGAGTGCATTGGAGGGGGTTAGAGACGTCTGGCCCTGATTACCCAGCAATGATTTAACTGACGTTTTAATTAAAAGAAAAACTTTGTCGGTTCTCTGCTATCCCCAGGAGTGACAAGGTGTGTGTGTGTGGTTCAGGGTTTCAGTAGTTATAAGCAGCCCAAGGTCCGGCCCTAAACAAGTGCCCTTACATCAGCCTGTGAGTGTTGAAGTACACTTTGAGCACACTCAGGTTGCAGTAAAGGTTCAGAAACGTCCACCTATCAAAGTTGGAGCACAACTTTCTGAAGACTACATCTGCATGGAGCCATACCATGAAGCAGAAAGGACTTGCATCAACATAAAAGTACGGCTGTTGAAATCAAATGTAAGATGCTTCTTTTTCCCAGTAACCAGTCCACTTAAATATAAGCCAACTGGATGACTGGGTAAAGTTAAATCGTATCTACATGGTTCAAATATTTGATCTGTGGTTGCCTAATATCTTCAAAGCAAACAATCTATTTGAATCTAATCCATTACAATGTGGAAAATCTGTAGAATCATCACAATGATTATTGCTTCCACGTTTCACACTGCAGGGAGTCTTAATTTCAAAATGTCAGGATAATGATTCTACGGATGTACTGCGCACAAGGGCTTCCTGTGACTACGGGGAAGTTCAGAGGAAACGGAAAGAGAAATATACATACATGTCCATCCAATGCCCAGTTGTCAATTTTGAACTTGTTAACAAAGATCTCCACAGGACCTCGAATCTGATACACCTGCAGCAACAATTGGGCTTCTTCTTTCTTATAGATACCTGCAGAATTGAGAGGAGTGTTGATGGGTGTCACGAGTGTTCGCAATAAAACATAATTGCCAAGTTCTTGTATTTTTTTTATTTGTGTTCGTTTCATATGGATTTTCAATGTAATGACTCAATGTAACAATAATTTGACTAGTAAGATTTACTTTACATTACATTTTAAATATATGTGTACAAAAAAAAAAAAAATGTTTTTAAAATACACATACGCTAGTTGGTGAAAGTCAGAGCCAGTCTGCAGATTTGAGCTGACAGATTTTATAGAAAATTGTGGCGTGTATGGCAGTTACAGACTCAGATATTTGTAGCTTCATACTATGATTCCATCCATTTGTAGGATATCAAACATGACTGATATTTTGAGCCAATTTAAGAAAAAAAAAAAAATTTAATTTGTTACGTGCTTCATAGCAACAAGGCATGTGTTTGTCAGATTTTTCATTTTCGGCTCAACTTTTCCTTTAAGACAACACAAAACACAGTGCTAGAGACAGTACAAGTCAGAAAATTGCCATTACCTTGCTGCTGAAGCGTCACAAATGGGTCTTTGGTCAAATGTGTTGTGAGGTTAAAATAATAAAAAAATAACACACCAGCCAGATTAAGCTGTACTCCGCTGTGGTCCATGAGAGTGCCATTGACCCGACTGCTGAATGGTTCAAAAGCAGTTATGCTAAGCATTGCTGGCTGCTTCTTCCCTAAATATTCATATGAACCCCTCCAAAGAGAGTTCTTAGCAAAGACCCCACTTGGCACTGAGATAGAGGCACAGAAAAGAAGAACACAATGAAAGAAACAAACACAAGAGCTACTGTATTATACATTCAAGTGACTAAAATATTTTAGGGAAATATTTAATTAACTTGCCTTGCATTAAAAGATTACTTTAATTTATGGTAGACAGTGAAACTTACCGGGTTGCTTTGTGTTGGGCGGCTCTTGCACTGTTCCTGCAGTTTTTCCGCTTGGTCTGTTATCAGCTGAAGGACAAGTATATATATATGGTGTCAGATGAAGAGACATAAAACACCTGACAGGACCTTTCACAAGCAGTACTAATAAACATGCTTACATGACTAAAAATAATATGCATTATATTACAATTAATAATAAATGACTGTTGCAATGCTTTATAAGTAAATAAATGTGGTTTGGTTTGTTTATAATATGCGTCTTCTGTTATGTAACCCACGGGCATAATAAAGGAATTGTACCTTTAACACATCTTGTGCATTATTTGCAGCATCTGCCTTGAACTTTGTTTTCCTTCCTATGTAGTGATAAATTGATGTACACTTGTTCCCTGTGCCATTTGGGCTGAACATATACTGTAGACTTTGTATGATTTGGAATCTCACTTATTATATCTGAATACCCTGTGAAGTCCACTTTGCAGGACATTATAAGATGATTGGACACACACAGTGGGGAAAAACAGCTTTATTAGATGTCATACGACTATGTTGCCCCTCTCTGGTCTCCCACAGGTGCTGTTAATATCCTTCCACTTCAAAAGTCCAGAACCCTGCTTTCATAGCTTTATTATAAAAGATTACAGCAACATATTTCAACAACTCTTAGACTGTGATGCATTTAGGGTTTAACTTGAGACTAATGCCATCCTCCTTCAGCAAAGTAAAAAGGAAATTGCTAATCTTATATTGCTGCCCTATATGCTCACAGTCGGCATGGTAAATGCTCTATGAGAACTGTTTATCTGATGATATTTTATAGCAGTCTGGGCTTTCCAAAACCAAAACAAAGCATTCCATTGGGCTAATCAGAGCTCTACTAATATGAAATTTCAACAATAACATGATGAATTGGGCACAGCGATCACGCCAGTTGTGGAGATGAAACAGGTGGACGTGGCCATTTATCAACATTTGTAGAGAAGAAAATCACAAAGTGGTGGAATACGGTAAATCATTAAGTCTGTAAATCAAGCAGATGGGCTACACCAAAACACACATGTGGTATGAACATGCTCAAAGCCAATCAATCAATTTCTTTTACATTTTTTAAAAGAAAAAACAAATTGCATGTAAAAGCACATTTAAGTTCAGTACATTTTGGTTTGTGGGCTCACACACATATTTATAAAGTATTTTGTACATACGTGCACACAATGGAGGTTTCCCTGTCCAGCTGCCATCAGCCCTGCAGGTGCGGTGTTCAGACCCTCCAGCAAGGTAGAAACCAGACTGACAGGTGTAGATGAGCGTATAACCCAGAGATGGCAGCTCTATAGCACCTACATCTGCCTGTGCGGGGAGCTCCGGCTGATTACAGTGATGAGCTGAGGAGAGAAATAAGAGAGAATATCTTATATTGTGGAGGGTGTATTGTGGAAAAACAAACAAACAAACAAAAACCACATAACCATACAAATTCAATGAAATCAGAAAAGGTTGCTCTACATCAGTGGTTCTCAAACCTCTCCATGAAGTACCCCCAGCACTGCACGTTTTGTATGTCTCCCTATATCTGACACACCCACTTCAGGTCTTGCAGGCTCCAGTAATGATCTGACGAGTTGAATCAGGTGTGATAGATGAGGGAGACATACAAAATGTGCAGGGCTGGGGGTACTCCAGGACAGGTTTGAGAACCACTGCTCTACATTATTAATCACTAGAAATTATTTTACAATTATATTTAATAAATAATTAAAAAAAATGCATTTGAAAAAAAAAAGTATAGTAACAGATAAATCAGGCTAATATGTTTGCAAGATAGAACGACTGCTCTACATTATTAATCACTAGAAATTATTTTACAATTATATTTAATAAATAATTAAAAAAAATGCATTTGAAAACAAAAAAGTATAGTAACAGATAAATCAGGCTAATATGTTTGCAAGATTGTGGCTAACCGATGCACTCAGGCTGCATGCCACTCCAGATGAGGTTGGGCAAACAGGTCCGAGAGATGGAACCCAGAAGGAGGTGACCCTTTCTGCAGCTGTAGTATACTGAACTACCAATCTGTTGATATAAACACACAAATAGTCAATAAATGACAAGAAAAAAAAATGAAAATGAAAAAATAAAAAAACAATGTCTTGGTTTGATGTGATTAGCACCTGATAGCCTTGAGAGTTGTTCTGGTGGCCAAAGAGAGGAGTGCCAGGATCTACACAGCTGGTGTGACTGGGATCTGTTTTAGATAGATAGATCGATAGATAGATAGATAGATAGATAGATAGATAGATAGATAGATATAGATAGATAGACACTTCTTTTAAATTGCAAAATATTTCACAATATTACTGTTTTTTACTGTATTTTTGATCAAATTAATGTAGCCTTGGGGAGAAAGGTGGTTCTTAAAAAAAAAATGTAAATAAATAAATATTTAATATATTATAATAAATATAATTGAATGGAAATGTGCAGGGTTGCCAGGTTGCGAAATAAAACCAGCCCAATTGCTATTCAAAACTATCGTTTTGCAATATAATAATTTGTCAGAACTGTTTTCTTTCTTTCTTTCTTAAATGTGAGGACAGCATGAATACATCAGCTGACCTATGCAAGACGGCTGGGTTCCACTCCAGGTTCCATCATATTGGCAGTATCGGCGAGCAGAGCCAACCAGGATCAAAGGCGGGTAACATGAGAATGAAACAGAGGACAGGTATGTGAACCCTCGGTCTTCTCGCTTGCCCTGGGCTGGTATCCCTGGATCTCCACAAAATACAGCTGCAGAGAAAAAGAAATTCATTGAGGAGAATATTATACTGTAAGGTTTTAACATCATCACACAAAATGTACAGCCGAAATTTAGAGACATCCAGTTAAAAATGTTATATGTGGATTTAAATGCTTATGAACATTTCTGGTAAAACTCAAATTCTATTTTAAGGCTTCAGAAAAATTCACACTTACGAAAACACTGAGGCCGTTCGCCACTCCAGTTTCCTGTGCCCTGGCAGGTGAGGATAGTGGGAAGTGAAAGCTGGTAACCCTGATTACAGCTATAACTAATGCTGGACCCCCATTGGAAGTCAGACCCCACAACCTGACCATTCGGGATGCTGGGAGGTGCTCCACACACAATGGCTGCAAGAAAACATAGACAATATGTCATGTTGAAAAATGAAATAAAATAAAAAATAAATGAATTAAATAAAATCACGCAAGATACCAATCATTTGGAATTATACAGGAAGCTTCCATTCACAAGAGGTGGACTCAAACCTTTGCAAACTGGCTTGGTGCTGTTCCATGTGCGATCCTTGGTGCAGATGAGTGTGGAGGCACGATCAGCATCTATAGTGAAGCCTGGTGAACACTGGAAGCTCACAGTGTGGCCGTACGTGAAGTCAATGCCCAGTCTGATACCATTAGCTGGCACTCCAGGATCTCCACAGTTAATGACTGGAAGTGGGCAGAGAGAGTAAAGTGAAAGTCAAAGTAATACTGAAAGCCATTTGTGGTGCAATAAGAGGAAGTACATGGCTGAATGACAAGTGAGGACAAGTGTGCCAAAATTCTGATGATTTGGAACTATTTTATAATTAGCCGTTTCATTGAAACAGATAAATTTAGGCAGAAACATTTTCATATTAAAAGGGTCATAAACTGGAAGCAACAAGACGTTTTATCACTCTTGGTGGTGCCTTTAAATTAATGAACTGTTTTAGGCATCAGCTTTGGGAGGCTCTTTCCTCTAGTCACTTCCTGTATTCGGAGGCCACCGGCACCCGCTCTGTGCCAAAGACACCAATGTGTCTGGAGCTGTAATGTTTGCACGTCACCACCATTTGCTCCGAGCCTGAACAGTGAGCATTGTGTTTTTATGAGCATGGCAAGTCACTCGGGTGGCTGCCAAGAGGGGGACAGGGCTACTCTCTATCGCTCCAACACAGGGCTGCTATGTAGACGTCCCTGATCAGCTTGTGTCCAGGGCCGGCATAATGGAGAACACTGTGCTTCATTATTAATTCCTGTCTAACAATGCATTGAAAAGCTTCATGCGAACAAAACCAATTCAAATCCAGCCTCTGGATTCCTCAAGAGCTCAGCCACTGAGAGCTGTACTATTCAGAGCAGTTTAGCTTAAGAGAATCAAACCGTCTCTTTCTAAAGCCACTTAAGAGACCCTATGAAAAGACACCATGAGAGTGGTCGACTTATCCAGCATTCCATTCAACTCGGAAAGTGGGAATTTCCAACTTGCTATTTAGAAAATTGCAAAAGAAAGCCACTTCTAGTTAGTCTTGGAACATGGAAACTTTCCAACACAGAACTGTGATTTGCTGAGATGGTGTATGACCATGGTGTCACTCAGAGAGATGCAAATGGGCACCGACAGCCGTTTACTTTTAAGCAAATAAAAATCATTAATAATTCGAAGCTCCTACATTTGCTAAACAAGTTTTAATACTAAAATACTTGCCAAGACAAATGTGTGCAAATTAGGTAAATGATCCTCTCTCTTCATAATCCTGCAGAATAAATGCTTACTTTATCCTAGGCAATTTGCTTGCTAGGAGCTAGTCTTTGTTGACAGGTGAACAACTGCAAAGCTAATGATAACATTTCAGTTAGCCTTTGAGTACCTAGCTAACAGCTTAGCACAGTGCTAACTGGCTTTAAAAAAGCTCTTTTGATTAGGAGGAATATGATTTTCAGCTAGCATGCTAACTTTTTGCTCAGCCATTGGGAAAGAGGGATAGGATGAATAGTGAATTGCTACATGCTAATGCTATTCAGTGGTAGGTACAGTATCATTGGGGGAAAGGATGTTGTCATTCTAGAAAATATTGTATTGAATACAAATTTACAAATATTGCATGTAAGATGAGTCATTAATATTTCTGGTTTGCATTTCCCCCGGAAAAGGACTATACATTTAAAATGTGTATATTTGCTACTTTTGTCAACTTAGTTTAACTAGTATATACTATTGATGGACTTCTAGCCACAAAACTTTGATTTTGATTTCAAGGGGTCTTCAAGTCTTACCCAAAACTGTAAAGAGTTAAGGTGTGGTCACATTAACAAAATTTCAGCAAAAAGTTCCATTGTCTACTGTCAATAGAGTAGTGATATATAAAGCACTGTTCACACACAGTCACTGTTGGTCTGTTGGTCAAGGCATTAAATCCTTGTGACCAACTTTAGCTTGTTAAATTTGCATGAGGAAATCTTTCGCCTTTGTGCTAAATTCCCAATCACATGGATTCCTACTAAAATTACTTGATTTCATGAAAATTCGCCAAACAATGGCAAGTCTGACCGTACCTTTCGTGATGCTAGCTTTAAAAAAATGGAAGTCTGATCTATCTAAACTCCTGTTGAGGTGTTGATGGGGCACCTGTGCATTCCGGCATGTCCCCGGTCCAAGTGCCATTGACTGTACAATGACGAGTGAGCAGGCCAGTGGAGTAGTAGCCTTCTCTGCAGGAGTAGGTGACAGAGCGGGAAAACACAAGTCCATCGTGGAACTGGATCATGGAGTTGCGAGGAGTTCCAGGGTTGCCACAGGAGACCACTGCAAAAGACCACAAGAGAACATCAGATGGGATGCAAGGTGACAATAATACATGGTCAGCGTAGAACATGAATTCTAGGTGCAAGGGAAGCTTAAACACTACTAGGCAACTACATGAATCATAGGACATGCCCCTCCTCTGACCTGGACAGTTATTTGTTAATTTAGCGTTTAATTAATAAACACATTTACTGCAGGTGATTTCATACATTAGACAATCCTTTGCTCCAGGACAGGGCAGATGGAGCTTATTCATGGGTGTGTGCCAATAAAGAGCAGGTGGGCACACACTCACAACCAGGAACTCCACCAATATGGGCTAGAGCAGGGGTGGCGAACTCCGGTCCTGGAGAGCCGCAGCCCTGGAGAGTTTAGCTCCAACCCTAATTAAAACTCACCTGCCTGTAGCTTCCTAGTAACCCTTCAGGCCTTGATTAGCTTGTTCAGGTGTGTTTGATTAGGGTTGAAGCAAAACTCTGCAGGGCTGCGGCTCTCCAGGACCGACGTTCGCCACCCCTGGGCTAGAGGTTTGAGCACTGGAGACTTGCCAATATGAAAACAGAGCACTTGAGTGGTGAATACTGAGCTTAAAACAACAAACAGCAAACCTGTTATCATCTGTTATCATTACATACCCCAGTGTCCTTTGGCTCAGATTTTGCATCGGGATACACATTTAAATTGGAAATCAAGTGGTGACCCAACACAGTACCAAATATGATTATTAGACAAACCTAAATTTGAATGGTATGATGTTTTGGGTGGCAATAATTCACCACGCATTGTGGTCGGCATAATGTTTGGTGTATTTTCTAGCAAGAAGAGGATGCATTTGTGCCAAAATAATGTTTCACCGGATAGAGAACCTTTGATGTCAATTGGAGAATAAATGCTCAATTTTAAAAGTGAATGAGCCTATTTATTTTGGCTTTGTGTGATATTTGCATAGTTTGGATAGCAACAATAGTATTTGATTAGTATTTGAATGTAGGGTGTTTTTCCCTGCTTTCTTTTTTTTTTGCATCACGTTTCACCAGTTGACTACCACTATATGCTATATCACATAAATATAAAGCACTCCAATTCTGCAAAGAACGGTCTATTTCCTTATATAAGTAAATGTTAGGACATGAGGACATAAACATAAAAGTCATCTTGATTTCCCCTTTCACTTTCAGACGATGAGCTTGGATGTAAATTTATGAGTGGGGTTTTAGGCAGTTATTGATTTGTTCTCTTTAAACGTCAGCATTTTCTGTGAATCCACCTTTTAAGCCACCACAGTTTGCTGAACTGGCATGGATAACAATAGCCCAAGGGTCAAATCAATAAGAGAAACACAAACTTAGGCAGACACACAAGCACACACATTTCAAACGCACAACCCCCAAGCATTTGGGAGGTAGGAAGGGACTGAGATGACAGTGTGCTTTGTAGGAGATGCAAAACTAAAAATATCTTAAATGTTTAGGGGTGACTTAACAAGATGTGAGATAAAACAAATGGTTGGTGTTAAAAAAGCAGGGTAAAAAAAAATGACAGGCGTCTCCACATGGGTAATTAACCTGGGTTTTCTGCTTCTCTGACATACCTTTCTTTGGGTTGTCAGCCTGACTCTGCAGGCACTTTACACAAACCAACACGAGCAGAATAATAATGCTGTTTAAGAGACAAGGAGAGAGTGCAAACACAGCAGCCCAGTGTCCAGGGGACCAGCAGGGCTGGCACAGTGGTTTTGGCATCTTGACTGGATAGTGTTCAGCATGTTGAGAGAAAGGAAACATGGTACGAGTGGAAGTGTAACATGTGTACACCCCAGGTGTACTGAGCCGCTTTAAAGCTACAGACGGGAACAAATCAAGATGAAAATAACTTCTCGCCAACCACTTTCTACCTCAGTCTGTCTGTCTCCATCTCCCTCTTTTGTTTTGCACAAGTTTATACACAAGGGAATTTGTGTGCAGAATCAAACTGCTATGAAATAACTTGCTGAGAAATTTGCATAGGCTACAATTTTGGGTGTAGCAGAGTCTTCTAGAGACAGAAGAGATTAATCATCTGCGTTCAGCCGCATTCTTCTGCAGACCACCCAGGTTTCATTTTTCTTACCATGGCACTCAGGCTGGATGCCCACCCAGCTCCCGTTAGCCAGGCAGGTTCGTTCAGAGGAGCCCTTCAGAACGTAGCCAGGCTCACAGCTGAATCGTACAATGCTCCCTACGGAGAACTCCTCTCCCAGACGGATCCCGTGCACTGGAACGCCAGGGTCTCCACACATTCCAGCAGAATCACCTGAAAAAACACACATACATATGAGCACTTGGACACTTATTTTTTACATGTAGTTTCATATAGCAGTGTTAACAATAGGTATATCTTAAATCAGGCCCATAATATCAATTTTCACTTTCTTCATTTTGGTTTGGCTTTTAAAATTGCATGATTTAATAAAAAAATAAAATAAAATAAAATACAAAAAATAACCTAGAAATAAAATTAATTTAAAGTAAAAAATAAAATAAGTGCTAAATGTACAATACATGATATAAGGATAAGGATAAGGGAGCGATTTTAGACACAACTTGTTTAACCAATGGACACATGAGGTGTGGAGAAACTCAATAAAACTAAATCACTCCTGTTAAAATCAATGGAGTTGTCTATACACCGCAAGTACCATGGGTTTCAAACCCTTGGTGTTGTGTCTATGTACAATGAAAATACCCTCAAACCAGTCCAATTTAGATCCTTTGACAGCGAATGACTGGACAACTACTATCTAGATGCCCCGCAAGACTTTCAAACTTGCCATCTATTACATTAGGTTTTTAGTTAAAGAGGTTAATTGAGATTTACACAAGATGATGAGTAATTTCATTCATATTTATTGAACAACTCTCCGCGGTAGACCTGGCAAAGGAGATGAAAAAATAGGCATCACAGCGGCTTGGTTTAGGTGATAATTTACTTTGGATAAGAAAGCACCAGGGACAGAAAATGTCCCTTAATTTCCCCGCTCATAATGCCGACGTGTGTGCTCCATGATGTTCTTCAGCAAATCCTCTTATTTTGATCCTCTGATGCATTTACAAATTATCTTTATATTCCCTATGTATCCTCTGGTAATGCTCAACAAACAATCACAAATTCAAAATGAACGGTGAGTCTTTTGGTGAAGGACGCAGTAAATATGAAAGAAATACTATTATTTAAATATAGAATACCGTCTTCAGAAACTCACACTGACAGGCCAGTTATTAACCACAAGATGTCTTGCAAAAAAAAGCCTAATGCACTTTTTGACAGAAAACATTTTTTTTTTTTTGAGGAATATGAAAGTTATGAATTGTGACATTAACCTGTCAGTGGTTTTACAGCCAGGGATGAAGCTCTTCTGGCATATCTGAGGGCTGCGATGGACTGATGTGTTTATAGTGGAGCAGGGCAGCTCATTACCTGGCAGGCATGTGTGAGTCTGTGTCGCCAAGCCCAATATGAGAAGATTAAACCAGTTTATGAGGGGACACACACTTTGCCCTTCTGGACACTGCCTAGATGGCAATATTGTATTACCACCCACTGATCTGCGCTGTAATCCTGAGGCCATTGATCCATCATCTCACACGAGACCTTAGAGATCGTGTTATCTCAAATGTGAAAAATGGAGCCCATGCCCCACTACACATACACATTATATGGAAAAAAGTATTGTGACACACCTCTTAATTATTGAATTCAGGATACAGGTGTTTCAACCAGACCCATTGCCACAGGTGTATAAAAATCAAGCACCTAGCCATGCACTCTGAAGAGCTCGGTGAATTCAAGTGTAGTACTGTGATAGGATGCCGCCTTTGTAATGAGTCAGTTTGTGAAATTTCATCCTTGTTAGATATTCCATTGTCAACTGTAAGTGGTAATACTGGAAAGTGGATGCGTTTAAGAACAGCACCAACTCAGCCACAAAGCGGAAGACCATCAGAATATCACAGAGCGGGGTCACCGAGTGCTGAGGATACATGGTGCGTAAAGTTGCCAGTGCTCTGCTGATTCCATAGCTGAAGAGCTACAAATTTCCACTGGCATTAACATTAGCACAGAAACTGTGCGGTGGGAGCTTCATGGAATAGGTTTCAATAACCAAGGAACTGCATGCAAGCCTCACATCACAAGTACAATTGTAAGCGTCAGATGGAGTGGTGTAAAGCATGCCACCACTGGACTCTGGAGCAGTGGAAACGTGTTCTGTGGAGTGATGAATCACACTTCTCTGTTTGGCAGTCTGATGGGTGAGTGTGGGTTTGAGAACATTACCTGCTTGACTGCACTGTGCCAACTGTAAAGTTTGGTGGAGAGATAATGTTATGGGGCTGTTTTTCAGGGGTTGAGCTAGGCCCATTACTTCCAGTGAAGATAAATCTTAATTAATGCTTCAGCATACCAAGACATTTTGAACAATGCTATGCTTCCAACTTTGTGGAAACAGTTTGGGGAAGGCTCTTTTCTAATCCAGCTTGACTGTGCCCCAGTGCACAAGGCAAGGTTCATAAGACATTGTTGGATGAGTTTGGTGTGGAAGAATTTGACTGGCCTACACAGAGCCTTGACCTTAACCCCATCGAACACCTTTGGGATTAACTGAAATGGAGACTGCGAGCCAGGACTTGTCCAACATCAGTGACTGACCTCATAGATACCCTACTGAATGAATTGGCAAAAAGTCCCACAGAAACAAAATCTTGTAGAGAGCCAGCTATAAGAACAGAAGCTTTTATTGTTGCAAAGGGAGGATCGAATCCATATAAATGTCTATTTATTTAGAGTGTGATGTTATTAAAGTCCCTGTTTGTGTAATGGTCAGGTGACTCAATAGGGAATAATATAAATAAATAATAAATAAAAATATATTTTAATTTACATGTATTTATATATTAAATGTATATTTATAATTTATAAAGTTTGCAAAAATATTCCCATCTTTTCTCATAAGTTTACATTCCCTTGTGAGAGAATCTGTGAGTCTCTTTCATATCTACAAAAACATAGGAGGGTTAATTAAATATAAGAAAATAATAAAAATAAGATAATAAAAACTGTTTTATTAGTACTTTGATTTAGTACTGGAGACATGGCATGTACGTATTTGCATATATTCCACAAGACAACATATTTAACTCAATTTACACAAATTATCTTGTTCAAAAGTCCTTAATAATGCTGCCTGACTGAACATCAGTAAACTTTATGATAGCTGTGTATAAGACCTTGCTTTGTCCTGAGTTGCAAAGCTGGATCTCAGTATATAGTCACTGTGAGGAAGAACACAAATGTGCAGAGCCTGCTGGGAAACCAAAGGACCTGCAGAACCTGAAGGTTTTTGGCAGCTTCACTGCTCAGGACAAAATAAGGACTCAATCACAAAAGATGTTTCGAAATGAAAGTAGGTAGTCTAATTTGTGTAAATATAACAATATTACAATGAAACATATTTCTAAAATATATTTTTTTAAACCAATAAAGTACTAAATAAAAATCACGATAAAAACAGACAGATGAGCATGTTGAATAGGGAAAAGATTTCAAGTACCGGAGCAATGTGGCAGGGAGCCGCTCCACTGGCCATCCAGCTGGCACATGCGGGTGGTATTGCCCACAATGCTGCGCTGGCCGATGCAGCTGAAGCGGATAACAGAGCCCACTGTGCGTCTGTCCCCCGAGATCTGTACATATGGAGGCATGCTGGGACGATCACACAGAACCACTGCGGCAGACAGAAAAAGGCAAATCTTACCTACAGTGCACAATATCGATATACACAATTCAGAGTAAAGTAGGTTACAAAATTATTTGAGTAATGGTTTATCAGGTTAAGATGACTTACAGAGGCACTTGGGTAGGGAGCGGTCCCATGTGCCGTCGCCTTGACAGCTCAGAGTGCTGGTGCCCAGCAGGTAGTATCCAGGGTTACAGCTGTAAGAAACTGCGGTCTGGAAACTGTAACGATGAGGCCCGCTGGGCAGGACCTGTCTGACACCATTTTCAACATGTCCCGGATCAGTGCAGTTCACAACTGAGACGCAGAGAAAGACAGACAGAGAGAAAGAAGGTTATGAAGAATACTGTTGAGAAGCACACTGCAATTGAAAAGTTTGGGGTCAGTAAGAATATTTATTTTTATTTTTTTTGAAAGTGATTAATACTTTAATTCTGCAAGGATGTGTTAAATGGATCAAAAGTGACAGTAAAGACATTTAGGTTTTTCTTTTCTATTCATCAAAGAATCTTGAAAAAAAAATGTATCACTGATTCCACAAAAATATTTTCAACATTGATAAGAAATACATTTTTTGAGCACCAATTCAGCATATTAGAATGATTTCTGAAGGATCATGTGACAGAAGACTGAAGCAATGGCTGCTAAAAATTCAGCTTTGATATCACAGGAATAAATTACATTTTAAATATATAATATTTCATAATATTACTGTTTTAACTGTATTTTTTATCAAATAAATGCAGCCTTGGTGAGCACAAGATACTCTTTTTTTTGGCATAATCAATTTAATTTAAAATAGACTTTTGTGTACATTTCTATCTGGGTGACAGTAATTCATCATATGATGATCACATCACATGATCACATGATGGAGAAAAGTGTTATATCCATATTTCCTGTTCCTGTTCAATCCTAGTAAAGTCTACTGCATCCTCCACAACAAGCCAATCTAAACGATGGGAAACTGTGGCACGCAAACCACATTAAGCATTCATTTTTGGCCTTGTTTGTGCCATTAATTGATTTGTGCAATTTCTTTAGTGAATTGTGTGAAATAAATGATGCTGCCAGTGGGCACAGTTCATTTTTCCTGATATCCAACCAATTTTCAACACACAAAATGCCACAGAAAAAGATGATTTACGAAGAAGATTAAAGGCTTCTAGAAAAACTTCTGTAAATATTTGAAACCACATAAACACAAACAGTTGCTTCATTAATGGCTGGCACACGGTCTGGCTGAGGACATGAACTGGGCTTAGAGAGAGGAGAGATGGAGACATATCGGTGGTGTGTTAGTTATGAGCCAAAAAACAAACAACAACAAAACAAAACAAAAAAACAGAGAACGAGAGCACAGAAGGACAAAAGGGCATGATGGATTACCTAAAACAAAAATCAGCAGTAATTTGTATTCGTTCATGCACTTAAAGGTCCCCTGAAATGCTTAGAAACAGTTACTCTATGTGTTGACGTCATTTTAACTGAAACAGGAAGACAGGGCGGGACATATCAAGCAGCCCCGCCCCTTTTTAAAATAGCCAATAACGTTCGTTTATATCACAGCTTGGGCTAGAGTCGTTGAGCTCCGTAAAGCCGTATTTGACAGGGTATGCCAGCTACAATCTCATCCATATTGCTATAAAATATAGCATTCTGTGTAGAATTCAAAAAGCTCCGATACATTTTGTGGTCTGCGCCGACTCGCGCATGTGCTCCGCTCCATACAGCGCGAAACCAGACTTCTTTTTTTCCTCAATGGAAAGCATATTTACACTGTTTGAATCGTTCCCTGTCCCCTATATAGTGCACTACGTGCCATTCACTGTACAGAAATTCTAATTCTGTGGACAAGTGACCGATTTCAGCCGCCGCTTCAGCGTCTATTTTATAGTGTAGGGGAGGGGAGATTCTAGAGAGCATTTGATTGGACATAAAGTTTGATGAAAAGCTGAAGTATGATGTGACGTCAAAAAAATCGTTGAGCCGTTTTGGCGGAAGTGACGAACTGCAAGCTTTGAATGCTTATATCTTCTAAATGCGAATTTTGTCACTGTTTTGGAGCACACTGCCTTATAGATAACCTTAAGACTAACATATTGATACTAACACCCAAAAAACTTTAATTTTGATTTCATGGGGACTTTAAAGAAAACAAAATATACATTAAAATGCAAGTGCAACTGAGCAGGCCAAGGCAATAAAATGGGCCTATGTTTTGTTCTTTGAGTACTCCAACTGATTCTAACAAATTTAGCTGAAAACACTTCTGGCGACATTCTATGAAGCCAGAAACAGTGAAGCCAAATGAAGAGAACAGGCTTCCTTATTTGACTCCAGAGTGTCCCTTCTGCTGTTCCAGGCCAGCAATGTTCCCTTAAAATCTCTCCGTTAGGGACAGCTTCTCAACGGAATTAAGACTTTCCAGAGTAGTAATGCATGCTAATGCATTTAATAGCTCTTAGTAGAGCCAGCCTAAGCCATTTTCTATGATGCAACCATTTATAACTTAAATATACCAGCTTGATTTTTAACTAAAATGTAAATGGTTAAGTTAGAAATAAATACAGAAATGAAATCAGTAGAAAGAAAGAAAAGAAGAAAAATAAAAGAACTAAGGAAAACAATCTGTTTATTTGTGCTTGGCCGTAATTCGATTTTAAAATTGATGCTCCCACTGGCCAGTGGCAATTTTTGAGGGGGGTGGTTCAATTATCTGCAGATATAAGTCTAACCAACTTATCTGTGTGGTTTAGGAGGCCATTTTGGAGATAGAAGTGGCTCACTCAGACACAAATTGGTGCTGATTAGCGGGGCTGTGCAGAGGCCTGATTGATGCAGCTCCGAGCTCATAGCATTTTTTACCGGCTCCTTTTGTGCCATTAAACATGCGTCTTCCCACGCTCAGTGCTAATGATGGACCATGATGGATAGGAGACCGTGCCTGATATGATCAGACCACTTCAACTTCCTCAGTCAGAGTAAACACACATTTATAAACTAAAGAGATGTACGGAGGGGATGGATGTTACAACTTCAAAGAGTCAAATTTAAAATAACAGAGTGATTCATAACTTGTGTAATTGTTTCACTGTTTCCAAAAATATTAAGCACACAACTCTTTTCAACATTGACGATAAGAAATGTTTCTTGAGCACCAAGTCAGCATATTAGAATGATTTCTGAAGGATTATGAAATTTAGCTTTGCCATCAGAAGAATACATTTAAAACAGTAGTGCTCTATATGTCACATTTTGGCTTATATATGGAAACTCTTAATTGAACATCTTGAATTACACAAATATTAGCATAGACTGTTATTGTCTAGATCTGTGCCAGTCATCTTTAACCCACAGGACTTACTTTTACACTTGGGCAGAGCGTTGCTCCACTGGCTGTTCGGCTGACAGTGAGACTTGATTGCACCTTGGAGAACATAACCAGTGTTGCAGGCGAAACGCACAATGTCGTTAAGGTTAAACTGCATTCCCTGAGTCACACCATTAGCTGGGGTGCCTGGATGCCCACAGGTGATGGCTACAGAACATCAAAGCGACATATTAATATCCATTTACATGATTATTTTATTTCTCAGAGGCATAAAACTGTCAAAAGACATTGAATCAGATTGCTTAAGTAACACGTACGGACACAGACGGGTGTCTTTCCGGACCAGCGATGGTCCTGCTCACAGATGCGAACGGACACGCCGATGAGTCGGAATCCAGGATTACACTGGTAAACGACACTGCCCCTGTAGTTGTAATTCTCTCCAATGACCTGGCCGTTCACAATATGCTCTGGTGTGCCACAGTGTCCAGCTGTTGAAGAAAAACACCGTAAATGCTCATTCGGAGCACATAAGGGTATATTTTCTCTAATTATTGATGAATAAGTCCCATAAGAGAAGTAAAGCCACTCACCAAGACACTGGACCTCAGCTCCACTCCACAGGCCATGGGACATGCACTCTCTCACTCTGGAGCCCACCAGAGTATAACCCGTGTTACAGGAAAAAATGGCAGTCGCTCCGTACACAGATAATGTTCCTATTTTATTCCCATTTGGAGGGGTTCCAAGGTCACCACAGGAAATGACTAGGGAAATTCAGATGAAGAATGCATTTGTAATTCTTACTTTTACGGAATTCTGAATACAAGATACGTTGGAATTTCAAGTCCTGAAATAGCTTTTTTTCAAACTTTCCTTAAAATGAAATCATGACATACTAGATCATGGGTTTTCAATTAAAGTTTGAAAAATCATCATAATTAAAAAAAAAAAAAAATCCATCCATCCATCCATTCTTCAAACAACTTATCCTCTGTAGGGCCATGAGTTTCCAAAAAAAAAAAAAAAATCATAATTTGAAAATGCTGTGGTCTCTAAGCATGTCTTGATGTCACTATGGTCTATATTGCACTCACTTTCACAGGATGGTCTAGGCTCAGGGTAATCCCAGGTGCCGTTAGCTTGGCAGCGGATGACCCTTTGACCCTTGTAGAAATATCCAGGGTCACAAGTCAGCATCATCATGGCCTCATATTTATTCTGCATGCCGTAAATAAGCCTCCACCTCCCATGATCCACTGCGGAGTGGCCGATGTCAGGGCAGGTCACAGCTAAAGGATCAAAGTTAAAATTAGTTTTTTGATTAAGACCTAAAAGTAGTGCAACATATTTGTTTAATATTTATTTCTTCTAATTCATTTTAACAAAATCATTCCATTAATTTCCATGTTCAAACTAATTTTTGAATTCAAGATTAAATGTGGCCTAAGACTTTTCAAGAATTTTAAATAGTTAACAGAATAATACACATTTGATCTTTTCCTTCTTTTATCAGTCTTTTATGTAAATAAGAACAAACTGATCGGTGCTCATGAACTCACGGACGCAGCGAGGGCGGGTCTCCATCGGGCTCCACCTCCCAAACTCTTGACAAACTGTTGACACCGGCTGAGCGTTGGCCAATCGGAAACCAGGATTACAAGAGAATGTGACTCTAGAGCCGAGAGTGAATTCCTGCCCGATGACAGTGCCATTCACTGGCGCAAGGGGCATCCCACAGGAAACAACTGTGAAGGAGAGAAAGATTCTGACTTCAAAAAAACAGACTCAAGTATTTTCTCACAAAACCCCAAGGAAACTGGCTATATCTTTTCACCATCGTACTTCAAAGAATACTCAGTGTAAACACTCTCAGTGAACACACCAAAAGCAGCAATGTGACTGTGCAAACACAAGCTTGCAGTGGCTCTGGGAAGGTAAACAAGAGCAGCTAGAAAGCAACGGGCACAAGCCAAGATCTGGACATGGACTAAAGGACACAGAGAGAACACCAGCATCCTGTAGAGCCAGCAGAGAGTAAGGCTGATGATACACTGGGCAACTTTTTTAGCAATGTTGCCATCAATGGGCAACCAGGTGAGACACAGGGCCCACGACCGATCTAAAGTATCCAGATAGACATTTGTTACCAATCCTCAATAGAAAAGTGCCCAAGCAACATTGCTCAAAAAGTTGCCCCATGTATCATAAGCCTAAGAGAGTCATGAACATACCAGCTACAGTAAACAATATAAACACAACAATCTCTGGCCTTTTATTACATTTTTTCATCCAATGCAATAACACTTTTGTGGGCTGCTAAATAGTCTAAATATGTTTTGGCACCAGTGTATGTGTCAAATCAGAATACCAACACCTGGATGACACTGCTGATTTAAAAGTTTAAATGACCGTAGATTAGGCTTGCCGCGATAGACTGTGCTGACGGTGATACTGTTGTTAAGCCGCAACACCGGTTACGTCACTTTCCCACTGCAGCACCGACCCCCACCGTCGTTTTGATTTTTTATAGTAATAAAAATAATATTTACTTATTTCCAGTTTTGTATAGGCTACCTATTTAAACTATGTAAGTTATTTGTTATTTTATATCAGGCATAGCCTGCCGTATAGCATGGTGTATTTTTATTCGTTTTGTTAATAAAAGTTCTATGTTTTATATATAGGCTAAAGAGAGTTTGACGTTGTATTTTGTTGTTGCATTCAAGCAATTGACGCCAAATTGCCGCTAATTCGAAAGTGAAAGTAAAATGCGCACTGTGCTTTTAAGCTATTTAAAAGTGAAGGAAAGAGAGGAAAAGAGGGAACACCACTGCACCCACGGTGATACCGGTATTATCGGTGTTGTCACACGTCGATTAACCGGTGGGAAAATTTCCTCACCGTCACAACCCTACCATAGATCTGCCTCCTCTCCTCCTCTCATCTTAATTTGTCATTTAGCTATCACTTCTATCCAATGTGATTTACAGTACACTTACAGGGACATTCCCTCTGGATCAACCCGTGGTTAAGTGTCTTTCTCAAGGCCACAATAGTGATCATTTCATGATTTTTGGAGTTCATGATTTTACCCTCATTTGTTTGAACCTACAAACTTCTGATGTCCAGCCCAGATCAGTAACCACTATACTATCCTCTACAGTCTCAAAAGTCATTATAATGACTCTTCTTTCAAATGACTGACACATAATGGATGTAATATCCATGCTACTCAACTTTCAATCAATCATGAGTCAACTACGTCCCACTTTGAATACGAATTACGAATACATTCAGTGTGTTCAATAGAGCTCAAAGGCTCTTGGCCTAAGGCATCTCACACCATTCCTGTCAAATAGAAATTCACCTCTCTCACAGGTGAGGCCTTTGTTAGCCAGGAAGTGGTGATAAAACACAGCACTTCTGAGACTGCAAAACGGTAGACGCCGTGGAGGCCTCTGCTTTAGTGGATGATAACTACCTCTTTCTGAGGAGACTCTCCCCTCGGACAGCACATTAGCAATAGTCTTGCAGCTATGGCTCCTGGCTAACCCATTTATTGTGATGAGCAATTTGACAGATGCAGCCAAGCCCTAAACATTGATTGAATACAGAATTAGCCACGCCGGCGCCGGTCTATCACAGAGAGAGTTCAGCAATGAGAGGCAGATAATCGCCTCCAGACTTTCTCCAAGGTATTTCAGACAAGATTTTCAGACTCACCTTGGCAAAGCGGCACTGGAGCGTTCCATTGGTAGATGCCCTGCAGGGTGCGGGTGCAAGTGGCGGTGGTCTGGCCAATCAGGTTGAAACCCCGGTCACAGCTGAAGCGCAAGGTACTGCCAAGTTTCGTGCCCGTCTGGCTATGCACCGAGCCGTTCACCGGAGGGTCCGGGGTACTGCAGTATGCCGCTGTGGCACATACAAAGGTAAACACAGCCAGAAGTCAAAGACACATCAGTCTGTGAAACCTGCTGCTTATTGTTTTTCTATTCATCACCCTGTTTACTGGAAATAGCGGATATTAATGCAGTCTGGAGCTGAGGAGTGATTAAAAAGATGCACAGTATTGAATTGCAGGAACTTGTGGAAGGTCATAAATGATGGATATGTAACAAAAAAAATCTATCGTTTTGTGTACAATTTGTTAGTCTAGACTGTAATTCAGAATACAACGAGAGTCATTATACAAAGTTATGCTGTTTGGCATATGCTATCCAGGCCACATTGTCCCTGTGGCACATGAGGTGTCTGAGATCAGATCTTGGCAGGCTGTTCTCCTTGCTGACCAAACAAGAAAAAGAATGACCGTAATGATACCAGCATAATATAAAAGTAGGTGTGGAAGGAATTAGGAGGAAATGGGGCATGAATGCAATTTGTCGCATTATTAATTGCTATGACCACATTACTAGCCTATCTGTTTCATGAGTTCACATGTTCATATACTCCTTCAGCGATACAGGTAAACAGCTTTGGCAAGCTGCCAATAATGCAGATACTTGAGGAAGTTGCCTCCCGGACTATTTAATTAATGTAAGTTAATTAGAGTAAGATTAGTGGAGGTTTCCTGGAAGAAATGTCATGGGAGTGAGGCAGTCTGCAAAAATAAATATTTTTTTTTGTTATCCTTAAAAAAAAAAAAGAAGAAAAGTTAACTTGAGAAGGCAAACTGCACAGGAAATAAATTCTAGATATATTCAAGATACACTATATAAAGGATAATGCAAAAATACTGATTAAGAAAATGATTTTCTGCAGTGTAAGCCGCCGCTTATGTACATGCCCTTGTGTTGGATTAGATGAACAAGCTCTTACCAAACTTCCATTTAAATTCCATTACAACAATTCTAATTTCAGTCCAACACAATGTCTAGCCATGAGAATTTCCTTTAGGAGAGTGAGGGAGCACTCACACAGGACACATTCTGGCACTGAAAACAGCTAGATGGCAATAAAAGGCAATACGATGGAATAGAGCGGAGGGGTCTTGAGACATGTTTTTCAAAGCTGAACAGCTGTTAACTATAGCTACATTAAAAAGTCATAATAAAAACACTATGCTGATGGCACAAATCTATGCAATAGTCAAAGATGCACATCTGAAACATACATGGATAAACAATTGTGCCCCAAGTTAGCAATACAGAATTTGTATTATTTATTTTTTTTAAGTTGTGGTTTTCAGTCTGTTACTGTGTTGTGGATTTAAGATTATTTATATGTTAGTGTATTTCTAAAAGTTGACAAATATCACACTACCTGCATTTATTTGATCAACAATTTATTTATTTCTGTTCTAAGACAATGGATCAAAAATATCAATGTCTCAAAATATGGTTCATGGCTATGACATAAACCAAAAACTAAAAGCATTAAAAAAAAAAAAAAGTCTGGTGTCAACTTCCCAGCAAACATCAAGACAGGAGAGAAAACTGCACTCATCAAGTCATTTCATGGAAATTTTGCTCTTCACAGAAAATGTTAAAAGAAGTAAAAGCTAACCTACTGTAGGACAAAGAAAAATAAATAAATAAAGACACCAGTAATGGAATGGCAACCCTCAAGTTTCACAAGGCGCAAATCTTTCTAATGATCAAACCACAGAGACATAAAATGCTTCCAGCCTCTCGTCCATTAGCCCTGACTGGAGATTACAGATAATGGACAAATTTAAAAGTTTACACATCATATACCTGTAGTAAAACTTTGAAAGAAAAAAAAAGTGCACTAATGGTTTAAATGGCTTAGAGTGCGGTTTTAAAGAAGTTTTGTTTTGTGCGTCAAACCTCTCATGTGATAGAGCAGGTGCTGCCTTCTAAATGGCTAAAAAGATTGCTATTGATTGTTGGCCACAGAGGTCAAGCTGTAAGAGATTGCTTAGTAGAAATTTAGCCTTCCCGCTCAACTACTTTATGAAGTCTGTGTCAACCAGTCGCGGTGCTGTTTCCTACCTGACTATGACCCAAGAGCCCCAGCTTTGCATTTAATAAAGTCACGATACAAACAAACTCTCATGCCCCTTGTTTCTAAATTGCAAAGTTAATGCTGTCAATCTTCAACCTTTAAGCTGCTCCGTTTCTTCTTTTTCCAAAGAAAGGCCTTCACACTTCTCAAAGCCAGTCATTTAGCAAACCTCACACAGGTGATGGTGGGAAGAAAAGGTCAGGAAATAAAAAAGAAAAATGAAGAGAGAAACAAAAGAGAGAGGGAGGAGGAGTGGAAGGACCCGCTACAGTTGATGAAGTAACAGCCTGTGGAGATAAAAGATGGATTGAGAAAGAAAACGCTACGAAGCTTTGAATCTGTCCCACCATCTGTTTTTGTCCCACCAAGGTATCGCTACAGAAGGGAAACCATATTGAGGAGGGAAACCTAGGTGTGCTGCCGCTGCTAACCCAGACTGTCACAGAGCCCTACTGTATATCAAAAATCCATCATGCGAGGAGGAAGCGGAAAAAGCAAAACAAGCTGATGCCGAGAGAAAGGACCCTGATGAGCCAGACAAAGAGGTGATTAGTCATTCTTCTGAAACGCTAATGATTAGGAGCATACGGAAACTTTTTAAATATTTACGGGGTAATAACTCATTTAGAATTACACTATTGCTCATGAAATGGCGCAATCAGGTCTTGATAGCTTGTGGCAGAGTTTCCTGCGTAAATTCTGTTTTTGCAGCAGGGAGTCATAATTGGTCGTTTTGTGAATGCGTATCTTTAACTGTAAGTTGTCAAACATTCAGGCAGTCGAGGAGTCATTTGATATAATCATTTGTAAGCCAAACCAATAACTTATGGGTAATGGGTCTTTTTGGTTGATTCATTAAAAGAATTGGCTCATAAGAGTCATTTGTTCATGACTCAAATCACACTAGTTACACTGTACGTTTGTTTTCGCATGCAGGTAGTGAAGACGCAATAGTATTATTTCACAGTACCTAGTCTTGTTTAACTCTTTCCCCGCCATTGACGAGTTATCTCGTCTTTTACAAGAAAACGCTTCCCCGCCAAAGACGAGATTTTACGGCATTTCGTGTTTTCACTGTTATACACTCGGGGGGAGC